TTAAATAATATCTTTAAATCTTATATTTTGATTTTAAAATAGTGAAAATGTATAAATTAAAAAAAAATAGAAAAAATATTTAGAAATAAAAAAATAACTTAGACTTTTAAAAGTTCTTTTAATTTGTGCCTTTTAGTGTGATTAATTAGTGCCTCTAGTAAAAATTTACGTGCGAATTAAAAAACTATATACATAGATAAATTTTTTTATGATTAAAAATAATAAATAATAAAATACTATAATTCAAATAAACATATTTAATAAGAGATGTGAAAAACTCAATTCACATAAATCTAAACTTAATTAGTAAATTATTTTAAGGGTTAAATGCAAGAAACTCCCTTTGAACTATTGGGTATTGCAAGAAATCCCCCTGAACTACAAAAAAATTCCCTAAACTATTGTTTTATTGCAGTTTACCTCAGTAGTAGACCGAAAAATGCAAAAGACCATTTAACCCTTGCTATAAAATGACGTAGTTTCAATCTTTAACCTCTAAAACCTCATGGACCAATGAGAGCTTGACACGTCACCTCCCAACACCAAACACAGACCTACACTGTCTACAACCACGCATATATATATATATATATATATATATATATATATATACAAGGTATATATCTAAAATTTGGGGGAAAATGGAGGTGATGGTGCTGTTGTGGCGGCGGCGACGAGGGTTGAAGTCGGAGGAGGATGTAACGACCCAAATCCACTGGATTCAGATCATTAAACGGGTCCGTACTTGACCCAAAATCGTCCAAGGGTAATATGGTCCTTTCACGTTAAATTTGTATATTAAAGTCCAACAAGGACAAGATGGTCATTTGTCACAATTCTAATGGTCTGAGACTCAAAGGGCAAAATAGTCATTTACTTGTATCATATAATAAATAAGATAAAGTTCGGGGCAATATAGTCATTCCCATGGTTAAAATCTGATTTTTTTTGTATTTTACTGGACCTTATAATGTGCAACAATACACTTAAGTGAGTAGTCAAGGGCAAAATGGAAAAATAAGTCACAAATGTTTACTACACAGGAACCGGTCAACGTGTATACATCACACGTCAATTGGTTTGGGACGTGAATAGTGGAAAAGCCCACTGCCAGGATACCGGTAGACGTATGGAAGGCTACACGTCGACTGGTTAAAGACTTGTACAGTGGAAATGCTCACTGCCAAGATATCGGTCGACGTGTGGGAATTTCATGTCGACTGGTTCAGGTCGACTGGTTGGGTTATCCTCACCCAAAATGCCACTGTCTGAAGGAAAGCGAGATATACCAACTTTGATACACAACCACTCACACCACTAGACTCACATACATGTTTAAATACATTTCAACTCCTAATTACATTGTTAACATAAATTACCACACGTTACTTGAAATGCACTAAAGAATTTAGTGTGATTAAAACTTAATTACTTTTCCCCAATGGCCATATACAAAATGAACCCAAATACATCACATGTTGCAGAATAATACATTTTGAGTCAACATTATACAAAATTAAGCCCAAATACAAAAGATAGCAATAAGAGACATTTTCTTACTCCAAGCTAAGGCCAGGGTGGATTGTCGTCCGCTACTTCTTTTCCGTATTCTGAAAAATGTTAGATAATAAAGGGGTGAGCATAAAGTTCAGTAGGAAGTGTCTAAGACACACTTCTTATGACCCCGTGAATCCACGTATAGAATAGAAAGCAGGAGAATGGGATCATACTATACCAGGAATGCAAACCATAACTATAATATCCAGTGTAAACACAAATGTCATCCAAGTCACAAATACGCCATGTATGCCGATGAAATGCAATGCCATGCTCATGTCGCTCCCCATTTCTGAACATTTCCGTTTCAACATCCAAACCGTTAGTGTAATCCGACCCAAGGCACCTCCAAGTTGTCACGAATGGAGGGTTGACTAACTATCCACGACCACAAGGCACCTCCAAGGCGTCGCATCCGGCCTAGTTAGTTTAACCATACTCCCTTCTAGACTACACTAACAACACGGACCACTAAGAGCCTCCTAGGCGTCCAGTTTTCACAAATATCTTTCAAAGTCATTTCCCCAAAATAGTTTCATTTGCTTTCAAAACATATATATATATTTTTTCCTTTCCCAATGAATGCATGAATGCTTCATGCTTTTCATTATGAATTCAACCATGGAATTTCACACACACTTTGTAATCTAAATCTCTAAAATAGGTAATCATGCGTCCCTTCAACATATTACAACACATAAGCAATTTTGCAAGAATTCAAGTTAATTAGGCATACAAAACACAAATTCCATTTCACATAGGCATGCCTATACACATTATATCAATTTTCACATAAACATATCTTCCAAATGTGATATTTAAACAACTTGAAAGAACTTAACTAATTAAGCATATAATTTAATAATTTATAAAGAATTAACTCACAAATGCATAAGAAATCATGTATTAGAACACCCCTACCTTAAATGAGGAAAAGCCCCAATTTGTGTGACCTAGATCCCAAATCTCCTAGAATGTACCAAACTAGAAATCGTTCCGATCAACTTGTAGATCTCGTCGTGAGTTTCAATTTGCCTCAAACGGCTTCCAAAATTTCCAAATATTGAAGGAGTAATCAAGAATTGCATCTTGAAGCCAAGAAAAAGAAAAAAAAAAAAAGAAGAGTCTAGAATGAGAGAGAGAGACTTGCGGGAGTGAGAGAAGGAATAGAGAAATTGAGATCAAAATGTGGTCTCATAGCCACCGAATAAAAATTGTGTGGGTCCCACTAAAAGTATTTTATTTTTATTTTTCTTTTCTTTATCAATTTACACCCCAATTACATACATATGCACCAACTATAAAATAGTCATATGTAACACATTAATTAAAATAATTATGATGCAAATGGATCCCACCAAAATTCCTGGATACAAAAATTCCTGTAGCGGGTCCCATACAGGACCGTCCGGCCCGAAAAAGCTAAAAATACAAAAATAATCACCCTAGCATTTCAAAAAGTTCTGGGCTCAATGAAATGCCCCAAACAACTCTCGGACACAACTGGCACACTCCGCAGTGTCCGGTACGAAAAACGACAAAAAGACGAAAATGCCCTCGAAAAATCAGAAAACTCCAAAAATTGAAAAATGGCAAAAATTGGAATCACTACAGAGGAGATGGATCTAGTGGTGGTGGTGGTGGTGTGGCGGCAACTTTGGGGGTTAAGGTTTGGGGAGGAGAATAATCACCATAGATAAGAGGTGGTGGTGATGTGGTGGCGGCGGTGACAGGGGTTGAGGTTGGAGGATGAGATAGATCACCATGGATAGGAGGTGGTGGTGCTATTGTGGTGGCGGCGACGGTGGTGGGGTTCTATCTGTTACAAATCCGACGAACAGGCAATGTAAGGATAGCGGCGACTCGCGGTCACGATTTCGGAAGCGGCAAGGAAAGAACCCACCGGCGTCGAATGAACATGGTGGTGATGTAGTGGGCAGTAGCGGCGAGAAGTGATTTTGATCAGTGTGAGGGTGGAACGCGCTAAAATGGTGACGATTGGGTTGTGTGATTGGGTTGCAATACTATGTTAGGCTACCTAACCTTTTTTTTAAATTTTTTTTTTTTTTTTTTTTAATTCCATTCAATTATGGTATTTGATTAATGTTTGTTTGTATGATCAGATTATTGGATGGTTTAGAAGGAAATTAAAAAAATTTGTCAGAATTCGTCCTATGGTTCACAGGTTTTGAGGTATATGCGGGGGACAGCTAATAGTTTTGGTGGGAATTTCAGTACCGAGAAGAGGATTTATTTTTTCAATCATCAAGATGATTAAATCGAGATTCCTTGTGGATTCTTTAAGAAATTTCCTATCACAAACTATGGTTAGTGATTTATATATACTTACTGGAATTCTCATGAATTCGGATTTCATATTAGCTGAATTGATAGAAATAGAGAACCACTTGAATTGAGGAATAATTTTACTGAATTGAATACTATTATATCAATATTCAGAATTGCAACTGAAGTTTTACTTCATTTATTGAACTGAAAAACTAAAAAATACATATTATACAGATAGACGGAGGGTGGGAGAGGGGTCTAAGTCAAAGAAGATGAATGAACAGTAAGAGGAAGATGAATAGTAACCAGAAAGGCGTGTTTGGGTGTAACAAGGTTCTATAAGAGTGAGACAGGCATCTACACACGACACATATATCATATATGTATACAAAATCACACGACATATATATATATATATCAACACAAAGCACAACTGACCCAAATAGAGAGGGGTTCATTTCGAAAAGAAGTCTTCTTTTTTATTTTTATTTTTTATTTTTATTTTTTAGAATGGATGCCTTGTGAAGAAGATGAAGAGTGCATATACAAATATATATATATACTAGTAAAATGCACGTGCGATGCACGTGTTGAATATTTTGTAACTTATCGATATATTCGTTGTATGATATTGTCGGATATTAAATGAATTTTTATCAACAATATTTAGAGTGTATTAATTGTCATCTCAATGAATTTCTAAACTATAACTCTTTGAAAATAAAAATATTCATATGAATAATGTTTAGAAAGTAATAATTGTCACCTCAAAAGAAACAAAATAAGGTTTTCCATTAATGAATGAATGAAAACTTTAAACATTTAAAAAAATATATGAAAATTAAAATTCTATAATTTACAAAACATTCATAAATAAATACTATATAAAAATTCTATATATTATAAAATCCGAAAGAGTACCAACAATGTTTAGATTGTAATAATTGTCACCTCAAAAGAAACAAAATATATTAGAAAATTCAAAACTATAACTATTTGAAAATAAAAGTATTCCTAAATTATTTATTTCTCAATCTTTCTCTTTTTTGCATATCTCATTTCTTCATGAAATGAATCATTGTTAAGTGTCAATTCTTTTAATTCTTCCACTGCAAAATAAGTTTTCACGACTTGTTGTTGAGTATTGTCTCTCTTCACCAGAAAAAGAAAAGATTTCCCTTTGCAGCTTGTCCCTTTGTTGCTAAATTCATCCATGTCCTGCAAAAAGAAGAAATATAATTTAGAGCTATTGAGAAATTCAAGTAAGTATTTTTTTTTAATTTAATTAAAATTTTATGAATAAGGGTGGGAAATTATCTCAATTTGTAATTGTAGTAAATCATCTAGTGAACAATTTATTAATGTTTGGCAATCATTGAATACTGTTAGGGTTGCAAGTGTTGCAATATGTTCCATACTTCGCACTTTAATAAATACAATAATAAGGTTTTAGGATATAATAATACTTTTAAATGCATTTTGGGTCTGTTGTGTTACATCGAAGACAGTATACTCTATCTTTTTCAACTTTTATTTTCTTGTTGCATTTCTCACAGGCGTCGTACCACGGTTCGCGGTCATTAACGACATTTTCAATTGTTGCTTCAAAACAATAATTTGTTTTATGCAGGTTGTGCAACAAAATATAACTTCTCGATATAAAAATGTGATATACAATTAAGAAAGATTAAGAAATATACTAAAATTTAATACCTCAAAGGACATTGTAGATTTTCTTATTATGTCTTGAAGTTTGACTTTTTCAGCACCATTGAATTTTTGATCTTTTGTACTGGAAATCAAACTTCTTATATCTTTGTTATTTATGTTCTCTTTGGACTTGTCCACATATAAATTATCTTGTAAAATTATTAAATAAATAAAACAGAAAAACATGTTCTCTTTCTACAAATAGTGTATATTTTGCACCAAGAGGTCTGCAATATAAAAATATAAAAACAAATATCATCTGGCATATATGTTTAGTTATATATGAATATGCTCAAAGAAAAAGATTACATATAGCTTTATGAATATATATATAATGTAAAAGAAGTTGGAATAAATAACGAACCAATGTCTTAATGCTTTAACACTTTCAATATCCATATTAATTTGCAATGTAGATCCATTTTGCATTTGAAGAGACAGACCTAGAATATAATATTATTATTTGTAAAAGTTTGTTATTATAGATTTACTTAATAATATATAATGTAAATAATATTTATTTGTATGATAATTTACCTTTGTAGGTGTTGATTGCCACATGTGTAACTGTGATAATAGGTCTTTTTTGTATTAGTTCCATAATAAAGTTTTCTTCATTCTCAGCAAAATCCTCCCATAACGTCAAAGTAGTTTTCCTTGAACTGTAATAAAGATTAATTATTTTAGTCATTATATTATACTGGCATAATTATGATCGTATATGTAATATAGTAATGACGTACCTCATATCCATTATATTGACTTCCCACTTTTTGGTTGTGCCTTTGTTGTTCTTCTTACATATGTTCAATGTAGAAGATACCTCAATAACAATTCTCAAAGCATCTAGCCAGATTAAAAATAAAATAAAAAATAAAAAATTTTAATTTTAATTTTATATATGTACAAGAGAGAACATATATATGGAGAGTTGAGAATTAAACGAAAACTAACCCATTTTCTTTTGCATCAATGTACTTGTTCAACTCCTTAAAGTCCACAAAATTAAAGTTTATTGTTTCTAAGCTTACTACTTCAAGCTCTTCAACTTCAATTGAGGTGTTATTAAGAAACTTCAATTTATACTCCTTGTGCACACTCCTATTTATAGGATTGACGTCTTTTACAATTACATTAAAAATTCTGTATGTCTTGTGAAGCAATAGTGAATCACTGAATTTGGTGACGAGCTCGTTAAATAAGACACCTTGAATTTGTGTTCCCTGAAAGAGTAAAAAAAATGTGTACATGGATTAATAAGATCATTAAATGACAATGTTGCTATACAAATATAGATGCATTTAATGAAATTAACAGAAATAGCCGATGGTATACTTACATCATCATCCATCAGAACTACTTTCAACATTGTTCCTGATGTGTATTCCTCGATTGCTCTTCGAAATACAACTACTTTTATTATCGACTTTGTTTTTAAACTAACAAGTGAATTTATTAAGTCAAAGCTTTGGTGACCTTTCTTCATTTTCGTGATTTTTTTTGCATGATTAAAAGAAAAAAGAATTGAGGTTAAAGAAAATAAAAATTAAAAATAAAATTGTGAAATAAGAATGATCGAGTATCAAAATAGAAATGAAAAAAATATATATACATCAATAGTAAGTTAAATCGAAGTTAATATTTTTTTTATATTTTTAAAAGAATAAAATTGTGAGTGAAAGATTTAAATATTGTAATAATTGGTAGCGAATGTGGGGTATCTTTACCTTTCGAATAATGCAAAATAATTTTGGAATGGGAAGGCATGGATATTAATGCGGGTGTATCCTTACCTTTTAGACTGGAGAACCTCCTTATAGACAACATTTTTAGTGTATGTACCACCTCTAATGTTTGTTTGATCCTTCTTAACAAGTACTTTAGTAGTTGACATTGAAGTTCCTCTGGATAGTGCAACATATAATTGTCCATGGGAGAATACGTGTTCAGGTAGATAAACTCCAACATAAGGAATTGTTTGGCCCTGTGCCTTATTTATTGTCATTGCAAAACTCAACCGGATTGAAAACTGTTTTCGTGTAAAATGGAAAGGCGTAGCTTCATTCTCTGCGGGGCATAGGGGTATTCTTAGAATCAGTACTTGTTTTCTAGCATGTTGTCCATGGCTGATTTCTGCATTGATCACATTGGCCTTTGTTCCACGACAGATGAGCCTGGTACCATTACACAATCCATTTGTCGGATCCAAATTTCTCAGCAACATTATAGGACAATCGACTTTCAACGTTAATTTATATGGCGGAAGGCCATTTGGAGTCAATGAATTAAGGAAATCTTCTTGGTAATAGGTCCCTGTATTATCAGTAGCTTTGTCAAAGCTATAATACGTAGTGGGTTCGCCTAGGAATTGTTCAATAAGATTCTCATTCAGTTTGTCAACGAAATCATTTTTGGTTGCCAAAATTGCTCGATTTGTAATATATTCCGCCGAGTGTGCATTTTTGAGGAGGTGGGGAAAAACAACATTTATCAATTCTTTGGTCAAGCACAATTGATTATAGATTGAATTTTCAACCGTAACTCTAAAGCTATTGTTCTTAAGTGTGGAAAGAATTATTTGGTCCATTTGGGTTTGGTTTAGGTTTTGAATCCCTTCCTGCTGCAATCGTGGAATATAATAATTAATGATAGTATAATATAATTTGTTAATTTGAACTTTATTAGGTAATTACTGTAATTATATTTTGTGTGAGTAGTATAGTATAATTTGAATTTATTATTTATCAATTAATAAATAAATACTGAAACTGTTTCATAAAGGCCGAGAAACTCTTTTTATATTTTGTTAATTTGAATTAATTTTAATTTTATTAGGTAATTTTGAGTTTTACAGAATTTATATCGTGGGATATAATAATCAATGAGAGCTCTTTATTGTGAATTAAAGTCTTTTTATATTTTGTTAATTTGAATTAATTTGAATTTTATTAGGTAATTTTGAGTTTTATAAAGTAGTACTACACTTGATTTTAGCCAAAAGACTAAGAAAGGTTAGCCAAAAGGCCGATTCAAAAAAATTTAGTACTACACTTAATCTTAACCAAAAGGCCGAGAATGTGTGATTGTTATTTCTTTAACTCTATAGTTTTATAAGAGGCTTTCATATAATCCTTTTTACTTAAAATCAATGTGGGACTTTGTAATTTGAATTAAACTCTTTTTATATTTTGTTAATTTGAATTAATTTTAATTTTATTAGGTAATTTTGAGTTTTATAGAATTTATATCAATTAATAAATAAATACTAAAACATTTTGCATATTTAATAATAGAGTATAGATATAGATATAGATTATAGAATTTATATCAATTAATAAATAAATACTGAAACACTTTGCACATTTAATAATAGTATAGATATAGATATAGATAGATATAGATTATAATAATTAATGAGTGCTCTTTATTGTTAATTAAACTCTTTTTATATTTTGTTAATTTGAATTTTATTAGGTAATTTTGAGGTTTATAGAATTTATATCAATTAATAAATAAATACTGAAACTATTTGCACAAAGGCCGATAAAGTAGTACTACACTTGATCTTAGCCAAAAAACCAATAAAAGTTAGCCAAAAAGCCGACCCAAAAAAATTTAGTACTACATTTGATCTTAGCTAAAAGGCCGAGAAGGTGTGATTATTATTTCTTTAGCTCTATAGTTTTATAAGAGGTTTTCATGTAATCATTTTTTACTTAAAATCAATGTGGGATTTTGTATTCTGAATTAAACTCTTTTTATATTTTGTTAATTTGAATTAATTTTAATTTTATTACGTAATTTTGAGTTTTATAAAATTTATATCAATTAATAAATAAATACTGAAATACTGAACACAATGGGCAAGAAAGTAGTACTACACTTGATCTTAGATAAAAGACCAAGAAAGGTTAACCAAAGGCCAACCCAAAAAAATTTAGTACTACACTTGATCTTAGCCAAAATGCCTAGAATGTATGATTATTATTTCTTTAGCTCTATAGTTTTATAAAAGACTTTCATATAATCATTTTTACTTAAAATCAATGTGGGACTTTTTAATTTGAATTAAACTCTTTTTATATTTTGTTAATTTAAATTAATTTAAATTTTATTAAATAATTTTGAATTTTATAGAATTTATATCAATTAATAAATAAATATTGAAATACTTATCTTTCCTTTAATTATCTTAATGATCATCTGCGTGTGTGCTAACACCTGGGGACGTGTATAACTAAATATAATAAACTTATAATACCTGTTACATTTCGTTATTTAAACTGAGCCGAATTATGCACGAGAAGTCTATTATCTTAATCATCATTTTATATGTTTACCTATTCATACATATTTGTTGTGTCAGTATCTAGTGATTGTGCCTTATGAATTAATTTAATCTATTCACAGGTTGGAGTTGTAATTATTGATAGCATTGCTTTCAACTTCTGTCAAGATTTTTAGAACTCAATTACTCGGTGGAATGGCCTTAAAGTTAATGAAACTTGCAAAATGGTTTATAGTTTTATAAGAGCCTCTCATGTAATAATTTTTACTTAAAATTAATGTGGAATTTTGTAATTTGAATTAATTTTTTTTTTATATTTTATTAATTTAAATTTAATTTAATTTAATTAGGTAATTTTGAGTTTTATAAAATTTATATTAATTAATAAATAAATACTGAAATACCAATACCAAAAGACCAAGAAAGGTTAGCCAAAAGGCCGACCCAAAAAAATTTAATACTACACTTGATCTTAGGCAAAAGGTCGAGAAGGTGTGAGTATTATTCTTTAGCTCTATAATTTTATAAGAGGCTTTCATATAATCCTTTTTACTAAAAACCAATGTGAGACTTTGTAATTTGAATTAAACTCTATTTATATTTTGTTAATTTGAATTAATTTTAATTTTATTCAATAATTTTGAGTTTTATAGAATTTTGTTAATTTTAATTTTATTAGGTAATTTTGAGTTTTGTGGAATTTTTATCAATTAATAATTAAATAATGAAATACTTTGCACAAAGGTCGAGAAAGTAGTATTACACTTGATTTTAGCCAAAAGAACAAGAAAGGTTAGCCAAAAGACCGATCCAAAAAAATTTAGTACTACACTTGATCTCTTAGCCTAAAAGCTGAGAATGTGTGATTATTATTTTTTTAACTTTATAGTTTTATAAGAGGTCGAGAAAGTAGTACTACACTTGATTTTAGCCAAAAGAACAAGAAAGGTTAGCCAAAAGACCGATCCAAAAAAATTTAGTACTACACTTGATCTCTTAGCCTAAAAGCTGAGAATGTGTGATTATTATTTTTTTAACTTTATAGTTTTATAAGAGGTTTTCATGTAATCTTTTTTACTTAAAATCAATGTGGGACTTTGTAATTTGAATTAAACTCTTTTTATATTTTGTTAATTTGAATTAATTTTAATTTTATTAGGTAATTTTGAGTTTTATAGAATTTATATTAATTAATAAATAAATACTGAAATACTGAAATACTGAAACACTGAAACAATTTGCATATTTAATAATAGTATAGATATAGATATATATATATTTATGTATGTGTGTGTATATAGATCATGAGTTGTTTGGGTGTAACCATATGTTTGGGTAAAATAGGGTCAATAAAGTATTTTTGCTCTTATAAGGGCATTAAAGTCATTAAATCATATATTGTGTTTTTAACGGCGCGTTGCAGCTGGTGCCTTCACCGGATGGGGTCATCTGCAACAAAAATGTATAGTTCGGGTTTTTTTTTGTAATTTTTATAGTTTAAGGGAGTTTGTTGCTAATTAGCCAATAGTTTAGGAGATTTTTTTACATTTAACCCTTATTTTAATAAATATTTTTTATAATCATGTATGTAATAGTTCACTAGTTAAGTTTAATACTTTACCTCCAGCTCTAGGTATGTAATAATAAATTATTATTATTATTATTTTTTGTAATCTAGAAAAACAGTGCCAAAAACTCACAAAAAGAATAAGATGTATATAAGTTAACATTTAACAATCAACAGAACAAATAATCAGAAATAAATTAAGTTCTATATTAGAAAAAACATATTTAGTTAATTAAAGATTTACCACTGAAATTCATGTATGCTTGTGGCCTTGCAAGGAGAATGACCAACAAAACATGAAAACAAAGAAGAAGAAAAAAAAAATCATAAATTTGTTTAGAAGCAACATTATATATATATATATATATATACCTTTCAAAAAAACAAAAGAAAAAAAACATTATATATATACACAGGTAACACAAACCAAAAAAGAATGAGTCATGTGAAGTGAAAGACAGTAAACTCTGTCCAGTGAAATTCCTTAGGATTGAGCAAACGTATTGATTGCAATAATTCAATACAAATATTTGATAAGATAAGAACAACTCCGTTAAATTGGTAAAACATTTAGAGCAATGTGAAAAGAAAAAAAAAAGCATTTTAACTTAAAGATTATAAAAAAAAAAATGCTTACCTTGCATTGCAATAAAATCTTAGGATCAGCATCATCTAAAATTCAATGATTTTACAATTTCCATAACAAAGATCTCTACACAAAAAATAATTTAAATCAACATTAGAAATTGACAAAGCAATGAAAAATATGTCTACCTTTCCAAAAAAAACATAGAACACTCAAAATAAAACAGTATCTACCTTTCAAAAAATAAAAAATAAAAAAAAATAAAAATAGTGCCGATGTAAAAAAATAAAATAAATAAAACCGTGTCTCCATCCTATTGAATCAGTATACTAGTCTGTGTTATTTTTAATATATATGTAATGATTAATAAACCTTTTACTTTTGATTTGGATTATATTTTGTTCTAATTTATTTTATTTTAGTTTTCTTTTGTCACATATTATATATTGATGTCAACCAGTTTTATTTGGTATTTAATATTTTTTATTTGGTTTCCTTACTCTTTAGGTTTTCTTATACTATTAGGTTTCTTTATGCAATTAAATTCATATAGTGATACGTTTTCTTTATATTATAAAATACATGTATTGTAATAGCAGCATTCAAAATTTGTTCAACATTTTTTCGACTTTGTGAATTCAGAGTTGTTCTTTTTGTTCCTTCCAAACATTCATAGCTTCCCTTCGGTCATATATGGTATGAATTTTTATTTCTTTTCTGCTTAAATTTGTTATTAATTATTCATTAATTTAATAAATAAAAATAATAATTGCTATCCGTGCATTTTTGAGTTTATGTGAAAAATCGAAAAAAAATTCTCGGAACCATGGTTACACCTACTGCACATTGTTACACGTACTGGACTTTTAACCCTATTTTTAGTCCTTTCCTCAATGTCTCATCCCATCCCCCAACTTTCCCGGGAAAGCTGAAGAAAAGAAAATTGTTTACATGAAACCAATTTAGATAACACGTTTTTCTATTATTAGTAGGGTTTTATATTAATCATAGCTGCGCTCTTATCCTTGCAACAACATTGAACGCAGTTCTCTCTCTCACTCTCACGCGTTTACACTCTGCTTGCACAGATGCTGTTAATTGCTTCAAGTTTTGGCCACTTTCTTCCATTCATTTGATTCATGCTTGTCAATATCTCCACCAACTCCACTCACACAAAAAACCAATTTAACTACACCATTCATGCATGTGTGTGTGTGTGTGTATATATATATATATCCCAACTCTCACATGTATCCTACACAGGTCTCTATCAATTAAGTTGTCAAAGTTGTCAAATATGGCATCACCAAGCATTCAAGCCAGACCATGGTGCTCTTTTTTGGTCCTTTGCATTGCCATCATCATGATATTCTCGACTCCAAACACCATTCTTGCCAAGAAATCGTCTCGAAAAACAGCTAGCATGAACTTGATTGACCAATGCTGGAGGAAGAACCCTAAATGGTGGACCCAAAGGCAGCACCTTGCCTCCTGCTCAGTGGGTTATGCTGGAAAGATGACCAACAATGTTGGTGGGGATGTGATACAATACAAAGTAACTGATCCGAGCGACAATCCGGTGAACCCTAATCCAGGAACACTCAGGTATGGAGTGACCCATCTCAGTGGGAAGGTGTGGATCACATTTCAGAAGGGCATGCGCATCAAACTTGAGAAACCACTTATCGTCAGCAGTTTCACCACCATTGATGGCCGTGGCGCCAATGTTCACATTGCAGGTGGTGCAGGCTTATTGCTGAAAAAGGTACCTATTCTAAAAGCTTAAGTTGTTAGAAAAAATATATGTGAAATATCCCTTCTAGCAACCCTAGCTTTATTCACCCCAAATCAGAAACTAAACCAATTCACTATATATATATATATATATATATAGTATATTTATATTTCAAAGTTCACCATCCACATATAATATTATCCCTAACAAGATTTGAAAATCCAATCTTCTCTTTGAGGAGGAGAGATAGAGAAAATCTTCCTTGCACAAGATTACCGTATCATCAATGTCATCACTCATCAACCATTTATTTCACTAGAATACATTTCTATACAATATTCAGTGTACTAGACATGTGGTACCTTTTTCAATGAAAACATGATAACAGAGAAGTGTTTTCAAGAAAAATGAGGAGTTTTTATTGGGGAGGGTACCACATGTTAAGTACTATCGGAATATTGTATACTTTATCGTATTAGTGTTAATTAGTAAGTGATACTATGTCATCTATACTTCTGGCGCATTAAAATTTTTCTTGGACAAATCATACCATTTGGGCTAATTCCATAAGAGTTACATGCCAGTCTGTTTGATCCTTATTTATGAGATTCAATTTGTAATAATGTTGCATATATATATTGGGTAATGACTCTTTTTAGCAGGTAACCAATGTTATCATTCATGGTCTAGTGATTCACCATATTCGACCGCACACACCTGGTGCTGTAATGGGTCCAGGCAAAAAGATGGAGACTATGGATCGCATAGATGGAGATGCAATCAGATTGGTTACATCTTCAAAGGTATGGATAGACCACAACACACTATTCGAGTGTGAGGATGGTCTGATCGATGTCACTCGTGGTTCCACAGGGATCACCATCTCAAACAACTGGTTCAGAAACCACAACAAGGTCATGCTTTTGGGTCATGATGATGGGTTCCTGAGGGACAAGGAGATGAAGGTCACTGTGGTATTCAACCATTTTGGTCCCAACTGCAAACAAAGGATGCCAAGGTACATTTTATGTGTCAGAATAAATTCTTGTGATTGAACAATGACCAATAAGTCAAAGCTATATGTGTGTCACAAAAATCTCATGATCATATGGAAAATTAATTTGCAGGGTTCGTCATGGTTATGCGCATGTAGTGAACAATCTCTACCAAGGATGGGGATTGTATGCAATTGGAGGAAGCATGAATCCTAGCGTAAAGAGTGAAGCAAACCTTTTTATCGCGCCAAACTCCGGGAACAAAGAGGTAAAAAACATAAATGATCCGCTTGGTTTAGTTTTCTGAGAACAAAAAAAAAAGAGTACAAAATTTCGTTGGTTTCTGAAAAGCATTTTCTCAAATGAGTATTTTTTGAATTCTTTCAAAACTGTTTTTAGAAAACTGAACCAAACAAAAAGTTTAACATAATTTTTAGAGGCGCTTGTGATTAAATTCAATGACATTTGGGGTGAACTTATTGTGAAATTGATGATGAACAAACAGGTCACATGGAGAAAGAATAACGGACGTGGCATGGTATCGAATTTTCAGTCAGTGAGAGATGTTTTTGAGAATGGAGCTTGTTTCAGCGAGACGAGTGATGGTGATGGTGGAATAAAACCAAATTATAACCATGAACAATATTTCCAAGTAGCAGATGCAAGAACATTGAGGTCATTGACGCGATTCTCAGGAGCTTTAAAATGCCGCGGAAAATCTAGATGTTGAGCGACGGTAACAGAAGACATAATAATTAGCAGCAGCTGTATATAGAGATGCAAAAAACATGTAGCAGTCAAGCTGGATTTTATACTTTAAGTTTGTACTTAGAGAGTTAATAATGGGCATATATATATATATATAAATATATATAATGTACTAAGCATGTTAGAGTTATGAATAAAAGTACAAAAACTTGAACTCTAGAATACATCTATATAGCTTCTTCACTGCAGATCTCTCTATGCTTACTTTTGGTTTTGTCATCTTGATTGAGGTCTATCTTTCTGTTATAATAAATGTCAACAAGCATGAAGTAAAATTTATTTATATTTTTTCTAGTCTGAAAAACGATTCGACTCCACTAGGATATGGATTGCTTTCAATAGTGACTCGAAATGAATTGGGATCCTCTGTTGTACTCCATTGTTGCTGTACAACAGAGGATTTAGGCTCTGCTCGAACGTACCTTCGAAGCACAGATGGATGAAACTTAAAACACCAAAAGGTTTCTCTTATATGGCCTCTGAAGAGAAGCTATGGCAATGTTGATTTGGATTGTTTTTGTCAAGTTGATTTTGAAGATTTTTTGTAAGAACAATGAGCAGTGCACTACTCAGTGTCACTTGGCTCACATTGAATGCTTTCATCTTTACAGCTGTGTGATTTAATTAAAGTGCATCAAATGTCTGGTTTCTTTTTCTTTTGCTCCCAATAGATTGTGTGTGTGTGTGTGTTTTGGTAGTTGAGTCACATAGCCCTTTGTGATCTACACATCATCTCAGGAATCAATCAAAACTGTTTCCACAGTTCAATTCTCACACCAAGCCCCAATCTTATCATACAAAAGGTCCTCCAAAAAGCTGATGAGAAAAAACAACTTTATACAAAAAGTCCATGCACAAGATGGATTGGCATCCACAAGAAATATGCTTAAAATTGCAATAAAGCCGAATCGATTTATTTTATTGATGAAATATTAATTATTCCACATAATCATAAATAAAAGCACCTAATGCACAACTTTAGTGCATATTTGCTTATTTTGGAGGCTTGATAAATCATGAACTTTTTCTTACCCAAGCTAAGTATTATCTACCCAAAGAATATGTATCTTGGTGCATTGAATCTATACTGATGGGTGATCTTGTGGATCGAAAATGCGATTGTGGCAGGTTTTGTCACAAGGGTAAGGGCAATCTATCTTTTGGAACGAACTCCGGTCATAATACCAGTCTCCAACTGCCTTTGCAATTGACTGCAGAACACATTTTTCAAACAAAGAAGAAATCTATAAACAAGAGAAAGAGTGAAAACTGAAGAGAAAGCTTAATATATAGCATATATATATATATATATATATATATATTCTAACTCGTAAACGAAATAACTTTCACAAATATGATAAAAGTAGTCACTTACAGTACCACCCAGTGTGGGAGAATCACTCCTCAACCAGGATTCCTGCATTTCAGTTTGGCAGTGGGTATAACAAGAGTTGATAAAGAGTCCTCTGGATGTAGAGCGGCCCAATCTCGACACTGCATTTAAAAATTCCAACCTGAAAGCTGAAAATAAATGCCAAAATAATATGTGAGATCTCCAAGACCTGCTATGGTACAAGGGGAACAGAAATTGCATATTTCATATTTCTTTTATTTCCCTCTAAATGACTATTCATATTTCATCCGCTACAATGCTGGTGTAGTTTCGGCTTCTAAGAAGCTCAAGGAAATAACAAATAGGACCTCTCGAAAACTACATATTAGTTCCAGATATATTATGTATATAGATTTGTTTCCGTTATGAAAGTTAAGGCAATGTGCATGATACCCTGCAAACTATAATTATCGAGAAGTACTAAATATCAGAGAACAATCCAATACTCTAAAAAAAATAGAATGAACAGAGCGAAGGATGCCAAAGAGTTTACGATAATGACCTTGCACGGTGTTTAGTTGAGTAGTTGAGCATTTCCCTATATCAAGCTTGCAGTTATGCCAGATGCTGTGTGGATCAGCAACACCAGGTGCTAAAATGTTATTTATCTGAATAAATAGAATAGATCAGAGAATTAGTAAAAACTGCAGTGGACAACAGATCATGATGTTCTTCATATGTATTACGACCACTTAGTGCAATTTGAATTGTTTAAGGAATTCTTATTGTCCTCGCAAATTTTTTTAAACAGAAAATCTTGAATAGTTACAGTTCACATCCCCAACAACATTGTATAGTAATAGTGATAGTAGTTACTTTTCTGTTTTTCTTTTCTTCCGCCCTTTTTAACACATGAAAGCATAACACAAGCTGTTTAAGGAACATAGTAAGAAAACTAAATAAGATACTTTGCAGAACTCCCCTCCACAAACAAATAAAAAGTTATAATAATGTGAGAATGCCTCTTCGCACTAGTCTGACTGGCCAGGAATCACATTTATAGACAACACATTAAATAGATTAATCGAGCTTCAATGGTATTAAACTGTTCATAATCAGTATTTGCAATTTGAGAACATTTTCACTCCAATATTATGAGGAATTGACATGGAAGCATGCCTTCAAGAGAAGTTTCCAGCAAATTCACATTCTTTTGGTTTGCAGAAAAAAAAAAATCTCGAGGAAAGTTGCACAGATATATGAAAAAGGGACCAATTAATTAGCAAATTTTGTATATTGATAACCAGAAATGAGCTAACCTGCCATGAATCATAGGCTGCATTTACTAGGAAAAGTGGAGTTGAAATTTGTTGCGCCACGTATTGAGGGAAAAAGCACTGCAATATTGTTTTGATGTAATGGTACACTTGAAATGGTGAAGGGTTAAACATACTAAAAAAACACAAAATGAAGCAAATCTTACCAAACCAGGTCTCAGTTTTGAAGTGCAGGATCGGGGCAAATTCTTTGCTGATCCCTGCAACATCAATAAAGCCTAATGACTTAAACCATTCGGCCCGACAAAGGAGAAAAGATCACCACGTAGAGGGCTTCATTGTTTTATTTAAATTAAAAAAAAAAAAGAAAAAAAAAAAAAGCAATATAAGAGCATAAGAAAAAAAGGACTACCAATTAGAGGTCATGAATGACAAAAGCACAGCTAATAAAATTAAAAAAAAATATCATTTTGCAGAAGATCACAAAAATCATAGCACAAACATCATGTGCCTGTGAGAGAGAGAGTACATGTGTTGCCACTACTTCATTATAGAAGCCTTCAATGTGTTGTGCTCCAGAAACATCCTTCCTGTTGCAGAACACCATTGTTTAGTTCCTCCACAAGAAAAACAACAATTTCACAGTTATTGCATAGTTCAAGAAATCCAGAAGTCCGGATAGATAGTCCTATACGAGGACTTACGCGTTGATAAAATAGCCAGCATCTGAAAGGCATTTCACTTTAGTGCCCTTGGGTAGTAGAGATCGAAAGTTATCACAATGCAATATGGAAGTCAAACCACCAGCAGAACAGCCAGAGAGAATAGCCTGTTGTAATAAGTTCTCAGGAGTTACTAAGAACAAGTAGAAAGACAGAGAGAGAGACGATGATGAATATCAGGTGGGTCATACATTTTCAGCACTCTTCATTCCTTTTGCTAATAGATCCTCAATAACAGCAAGAAAAACCCGTGCACCTCTGAAGTGAAGATTCGTAGCCTGATAAAAACTGTCATAGGAAATATGAACTGAAACTAAGCTATAGATTCAACTTTGAATTACTTACAGGATTGACTGCTTCCACATCACCGGTAAATGATGCCCCGTCACAGTACCGGACCCTGATTCTGTTCCAATTATAGAAGTCTGGATATTGAAATAGATTTTAGTTTCTTAATTAGGACACAAGCTTGAGAAAATACGAAATTCAAATGGCAGAATGAAAACCAGATGAATTGAGTTGTACCTGGATTAAATTGAGGCCTGTTGCTGAAAATCCCAGAATAAGCAACTTGCTTCGCCATTTGTTTAGAGGAACCTAGACTGGTTTTCTTACGCGCAACACAAGTTGTTACATTGTTACACCAACCTCCTCCCTAAACAATCCACAGAAAATTTTATTCAGACAAAAAAATTCAAATTCATACACAGAAAATATTCCTTGTTGAGTACTGACCATGCATCAGGCATTTGAAAATGAAAATCTCATAATTACCACATCAAAGTGCTCAATAATAAAACTGCAATATTGGTGTAAGAATTATCATTTTGTTGAGAACTGAAAATCATTACACTCCACTCCATTCTCTCGCTGATAAAAATGCAGAAAATTGGGGGTTAGTGTTAGAACTATATGGGATTGAATAGTAGCTTATGATTCAATACTTTTATCCTTGGCATGTACGGCCTGACACAATGTTAGAATTCTAGTTCTTTCAGAGTTTGTCTCACAAGGCCTTCTATATGGGAAAAAAAAATAAAGAAAAAGACTGCTGGACAGATTATAACCGAAGGACCAACCTCGATGTGAACCAACCAATTATTTATTCCTGCTCCGAATCCCTTGTCAATATGGTATGCTGGTGGACTCCCATCCAAACAAACTGCTTCAACATGAGAATTACAAGCACATAAATAATCAAAATTGTTTAAATAAGAAGATGAAAACAGTAAATTCAACCAGTGTCTTGTTAACTGAAATTTTCACCTGCTCCTTTTGCCACAGCGTTCTGAACGTAAGTTATACCAACAAATAATCCTTCTGTTTTCAGAAAAATCAGTAGACAAAATAGTATGTAGAAACATTGGACTAAGCTTCTATCGGCCATTCTGCACATTAGAACAAGAATTGTTAAAATATAATTTTTTTGAAAGAGAAACATAATACTAGAAGAGGAGGAAGCAGAGAATACCACTCCGAATCATCAATAATATATAAGTTGACTAACGGCTAACCTACACATATATAAATATAGGTACACAAACATATTTTATACATATAGAATAGGATCAATTTACAACTTGTGTAAGAATTTTTCTTTTTCTATCCAGATGTTTGATTATATATTGTTATCTATTGGAAATAATATGATTTGGAAAGACTATGGAAGATTGGTTGGAGTGATCCACATGTGACAGGGTCGATTCCATAATCATATCCATCAACCGACTACTAATAATTCATGTTCACATCCATCACCCTATATATAGAAGCATCCTTTT